GCAGATTACCAATTGCTATTAAAATGAAACTCCTGTGTGTGACAGTACACTTTGATAGTTACTAATGACGCAAATTTTCATTTTTCTTTATCCCTCTTCCATCATATAAATATGCGAGATCTATCTACACTTTAATAAACCGCAAAGTGAATTAAATCATAACATTTTTTTCCATTGTGCATCAAGTAAAGTAGTTCATGATATCGATATTATTTTGCTCGCAGCACCTTCTAGCTAGTGTAACTTAAAATGATTATAATGTTAGTGAAACACGCCACAGCTTGATGCGCCTGTATTTAACCGACTTTCTGTCAGGACTATAATGCAGAAATGAAGTTTGCCTCGATTGAAGAAGAACATTGCCCCTACTCGAGACTTGTGATAATCAATACATGGATGAGACACGAGGTAACCCACGTTGCTTTGTTATCAACTTGGATGTTATGAAAATCAAATTTACATTTTTGAAATCACGACCCATATTAGTATCAGCCAGTTCCCAATAGAATTGGCCTCGTAAAGCACTTACAGGCTTAAAATCTACAGCCATCTTGTAAATAATCCTTCAATGCTACAGTTTTAAATGATGATTCATTTTATCATTCTACATGCATTTTCGTTATTCCATTATGGCTTTCCAGCTGAATCTATGCATCATAAGAAATTCTATTATTTTTAAATCTGTTTTAACACGCGCCATTTGTTCAGTGCTTTAATGTTCTACCTAGTGAAGGACATTTTTATGAGTAAATCAGGAAACTAAGTAGTAGAAAATACCAACTTGAATTTGTGTATTTAAATTCTTATCAAACCAAAGCATGCTTACGACACCAATCACGTGACATAATTTCGGAATGGTGCCTGTTCGCCCGTTCGGAACTAGTATGTTGTATTTGATATATAGAATTGCCAATATCACGCTTTCCTGAGCAATCAAATGCGCAAAGAAATATGGCTTCATCTGATGTAGGTCTGACTGGGTTATTTCCGGTAAAACACACTTTTATACATCAATAATTACTCGTACATTACATATTGATGTGCAACTTTTACCCTTCTAAAATAGATATTGTGATTCGATGCGCCTATTTTAAGATATATTACACCTCAAATTCAATACTTAGAATTAGGTTTGTCATTTATCATGTAATGTGAATAAAATATGAATACCTAGTACTAAAATAATGATATACCAATAACTAGATCCCGAACTAGTTTCATCCGCCTATATTTCAATATCGATAAACATATTCACTGAACGCAGCGTAACGCTATTTGATTTCTCGTAACATGTAATCAAAACCCTTTTCTGCATTCGGTATCAATATACTGAAGTCACAACCACGGTGAAATGGTTTAAATCTAGGAGGACATCTTTGCGTGTCACTCATAGTTATATGACAGCTTTATCACGTAATCTATGTTAACAAACGATCATATTTACTTATACAAGTCAAATCTAATATATCAATATTCTGCAATATTGATAAGGTCGTTCCCTTGTGATGTTTCTTACAATTACAAATTAAATATTCACAAAAAGGATGTTTGATAACAAAGTATTCCTGGCAAGGTGACAGTAAACAGACATTTGTAAAGCAGTCAGTGTTAATGTTTAGTTGATAAGCGTGTGAAAAGTGGATTATAACCACCGCCACTATATCCGGGCTTACATAACAGGGTATTATATCGCAACAACAACCAAAACCAGCAACCGCTTTGTAGGGGAAGTTTACATTGTTCACTTGACTGTAAGTGAAGACCAGGTATTCAACGTAGCAAAAGACGTTTAAAATTTGAGAAACAGAATGTTAGAAGCCTTAACTGATATACATTTCTAAACCCTGAAATATTCTCGCTCTTGAAACAGTATGAACCATACTTTTAAATTGATTTATATTTCGATAAATAACGTTTATTTACTTTTAAGTATCTGCCCTAATATACAGTTGAATATACAGATCAATATCCACAGATCATTGCCGTCCACACTGTTAAGGATTCAGAAGTAAAGACCTTCAATGGCTCAATCATTTTTGGATCAGCAAATTCCATATATGATATAAAGCAAAACAAGACGCTTTATTTACTTTAGAGATATTGATCTGCGCCCACAAGTGTCTCTCTTGAAAACGCTATCACAAATGTGCAATTCACTTTGAAGTGTGTTATATCTCATATGTGAATTCTACTTTGATATATTGCCATACTAATGAAGGTTCGTACCACTGGGTCCTATATATCTACCACTTTTACACCTGTGGGATAGCGTGATTGCTAAGCACTAGTCCAGGTGCTCGTTACGGCTTGCCTTACCTGGGTACCTGTTGACGGCCAAGCTCCATCTGGATGCTTTCTCAATAATGCATAGGATTGCAATCAACGTGATAAAGTCTCTTCAACGACGCAAGTCAGATGTGGAATCCCTAGGTTCACCCGTGATATATCCTTTTCCCACAAATAAGGAGCGATGATTCACTAGTTTCCTGATCACAATGCTCGGTCCAGTTCGTATTCCATACAACTAATTTGGCAATAAATATTGCAACAATGGAATGTAACGATCAAATCCAAAAGCTGGTGTATAAAGTTTAAGTAGATGGAAATGAAAAAAGAAAGATCATGACGGGGGATTCCGTTCAGGAAAACATTAAAATATTCCAGTAAGAATGAAAAACATAAATGAAAGCAGGCCCGAACACATCTGTGTAACTGTAAATCCATTCAGCATACAACGTGCAATGATAAAAATGCTACCAATTGTTGATTCCATAACAATAAAACCACATTATAAACAGTTAATACTTTCTATTTCGCACAGCACATTACCATACCATTTAACATGGTAACGCATTACTCTTCAACCAAACTCCAACAAGGAAATATCACACATTACGCTTCACAGCCAGTTTCAATTCAGCTTGATTAATAACAACATTACGTTGTTATTAAAACCATAACAGTAAAAATGTAAATGGGCATGATATGACAATTCAAACATTTGCTTTCCTTTTTATCATATTTGTTACTACATTCAAATTTCCAACTGGTAACACTTTTGAAAACGCTTATTAATTATGTTTTGAATAGTGACGATTTTGCAGAATTAATATCAATACCAAATGATTTTGCGTCTTTGATATTTTGCCAAATGATAAAAAATCTTACTTACATTTAAAGAATTGTCATAAGCAATGTTCAAACCTTCTCCTAGTTAAACGTAGATGTATCAAATACACAGGTATGTGCCTTTTACAATTAACTATCTCGTTGATCTTGGCAAAGAGCAAGTAGCACACGTGTTAAAACTATCTGTTACAAACAGATACAGAAATACCTGCAAAACGAATATTACAATGTCTTCAAACCAGTGACTGTTTGCAGGAAATAAATGTCTTAAGTAGTGTTATTTCACAATATAAATTTAAATGCAGAGACAATATTACATGTTTTAGAATATGTCTAGATCAATATCAATCATGTGTTTTTATTCGCGAATCATTCATGTAAATATAAAATGAGAAATGTAATTTAACAGAACTTTTAGGTAAAGGTCTTCACGGGTTTGGTATATATAATTTATAATGTCGTATTTTCAATACTTTGCTATGAAAACACAATTATACTTTTTAGGTTTAGATGGATTAAAGTTATACTTAATTATTTGTTGTCGCTTTTCAATCCTTTCAGAAGTGATCAGCTGTTTTACTAATCCATTATTTTCATCGACAGGTTTAGCGGTATGTGAATTTAGTGTTCTCATGTGTTAAAGCAGTCACTCAACAGAAAAAATATACAGATTATGTTATTATTGTCAATAAAACTGGTTTGGACTGGAATTGACTATGGTAGAATTATGAGGTGCCATTAGCAGAGGCTTTTGTCCCCGATCGATCTGGTCCTCATAACACACGCGGATAGCTAGACATGGCAAGCTATGATATGCGGCGTATGAATGCACACCCTAAATATTGCAGAACAGAATGAAGTGTGGATCACTAGGCCATGTATAATGGGGTTAACATATCGGTAATTACTTGGGACCCACTACCATAGGGACCAGAACGGCTGATTGCAGACTTGGCATTTTTAAAGTCCTTTCTGTTTGGATAGAATATTGACAGAAGGAATTCTTCAATAATACTATTTACTGTATAAATATTACAATGGATGTGTTGTCCCATAATGGTGTTTTATTATACTAAGCCTTATCCCTTACAGGTGGTGATTTAATTACAAGTATTTATTCATTCCTTAAACAGATATAATAGCTCCCTAATTCACATACAAATGAGATTTATAATTCGTGTAGTTGTCTTTTTTCATAAAGAGGAATACAAATTCTAATTCTGAGATTCCTGAACATTAGAATCTCAGCTATCTAGGCCGTTTATAAAAGCCTACTACTAGGCTATATTTCTACAATAGAAGATTCTAATAATCTTTGTTTGAAGAAGTGTTTTTTTTAAAAATGGATACAATAATTGGAAAGTAAAAAATACTGTTTAGCTGTTACTAATCTCTCGGACATGTTCTAACCATCTATCGTTCTCAATCATGAATCCACACTAGTAACAACAAAGTTCTCATCCATCACACTCTAAGAAATAAAACAGGTATGCAATCTCCATGTATAGAGGTATGTTCTAAGGTGTGAGATTAGGTATGTAAAGTATCAAATGTCTACTTCAATGACGAAAAAAATCTACACATATACATATAAATATATATACAATCTGAAACGTCACTTTCATACCCTAGAATCTCGTAGTGGAGGAAGAGCGAGTAGCCTGTTAAGAACAAATAGGTTGATTATGACAAAGACATGTATGTTTGCCTAAGGCAATATCATGCTAATAAAAATCTTTAACCACTCTTGAAATACAATGGAGGAAAGTTGATACGAATTGTTAATATCTAGATCATTCTAAGATAAAGATAATAATATTTTCATTAACTTTCTAACCATAATGTGACAAAAATACTAGATCTTTGAATTTCTACATCCTTAATCTACCGGTTTTATGTGCATAGAATTTGTTGAAGTTTTCCGTAATAATTGGTACCGGTATGGCTAGAGTGAGCACACCAGCTAAAGCACATACGCTCCCTATAATTTTGCCAAGAGGACCAACAGGGACCTTGTCCCCATATCCTACAGTACACATCGTGATGACGGCCCACCAAAACCCGTCAGGAATACTCTTGATTTGTGCTTCTGGGATTCCGTGTTCTGCATAATATATCGCACTGGAGAAAAGAAGCACACACACCACCATGGCCACTAGAAATAACATTAGACCTTGTATACTCGCTTTGAACGTCAAAATCAACACCTGTAAACCCGCCGAATGTTTGGTCAATTTGAATATTCTCACTAATCTCACCACCCTGAGAAAGGCGAGCGAAGCACCAGAACTAGCATTATTGCAACCATCCGGTGCCAAGAGATTTGACAGGGAAACGTAATATGGGACAATAGCAGTGATGTCGACAATATTTTTGAAGTCTTTGAAATATTTGATTTTACTTGGGCACGAGAAAAGACGAACAACCACTTCAAGTGTGAACCATATGGTACATACCGTTTCCATTATGAAAAAGGGTTCCATGAAATTGGGCCGTCCATCTATGCAATCATTTCCTGAAAGACCGGGTAAGGTTTCAACACAGAACAAAACAATTGATAATAATGTAATGATAACCGACACAATTGCAACGACGTAAGCGAAAGGCGATGTTTCCGGATATTCCATCAGCATCCAAATCTTTCGTTTCCATTTGTTTTCCGGAAGCTCCATTTTCTCCTGGATGTAGCCCTCTTCGTCTTTGTATAGGTCTACAACTTCCTTTTCGATTTCATAGAAGTCCAACTCCCTTAGGAATATATCGTCCGGGACAGGATCTGGTCTCCTGATTTTCCCGCCATACATATAGTAATTGAATATGGATTCAAATGTAGGTCTGTGACGATCAAAGAAAAATTCGTTTCTCCTTTTATCGAAATATTTTAATCGTTTTCTAGGATTGCCGAGAAGGGTTGTGGGATGACGGTTGACTATTGTAGCCCAGAGCTCATAGTACTGACCGCTGACATTAATAGTGAATCGGTCACATGTACTGAGACAGCAGGTATGAGGTGACGTATTTCCGTTACAACACGTTTCCAGGCAAACGATGAGCTCTGCATCCAACTCCTTATCATCGCTACTCCGACTACTTCCTGCTCCTTTTGTGGACTCTGGTGACTGGAACAGCCACAGGTCACCGTCCGCGTCCTGGTCCTGGTTTCTATTCCGACTCATTGGTCTCCGGTACCGGGACTGATTCGTGATGAACGGAACTGCCATTTCCTTTCGGAATCTTATTAACTTTGTATAAGGAAGGCTTGGTTTAAACACAAAATCAATATTTTCGGATATACACGAGAGTCATCCTGCTCGTAAAACTTAGTTTCGAAGTTTAGTTTTCTTTCATTAGAAATCAATAAAAGAAGTAACATGCGAGAAGAACTTTCTTCAAACATTAAGCCGAAGCACAATATATCTGTTGTTGAAATCCCCGATGGCTGCCAGCCTACCATCAGTAAGTATATGTACTACATACAAGTCGTTTCTCCGACACTTCAGCACAGAAAATTCGATATTTTCCAAAAACGCAGACAGGTCTCTTCTCAGTAATTTGACTTCAATTATGTTTCGTTGGCTTTGCCAGTGAACTGTCAGTACCAGGCAGTGAAGTGATCTCAAAAGTAGTTTTTTTCAAAACTTGAAAAAAATCTATGGTAAAAGTTATGTGAACTATTCTCCAGGAGAAACCAATCGATCTGTATAGAAAGCTGACTTACTTAAGAGAGAGTTCAAAAATGCTGGTGTGTAAGGCTATGTGGAAACTTACTTTGTTTGCCTACAGTGGACACCAGCACTCCAATAGCTTGCTTTCGAATTACAATACTCATACGTCACTCCTCTAGCGTTCAATACCAGAGCACTTGGTATATCAGAGCTATGTAAGAAAACATGGCGTCCTCTTTCTGTTCAGTTTATACAGGAAAACTTTATAATCCCAGTACAAAAAATCACAAACTTTCAAACCAGTTGCACTTTTCATTCCCATTGGTAAGTATCAATAACTAGCTCGTATGGCGTGTTATTGTAAACACACTTTACCGTTGAATCAATGTTCACTCGTAGTCAATCGATTGCGTATTAAGACCCCATCTTTTGTGCGTTGTCGTAGATTTTCAATTCATCTCTTCACTGGGTCCAGTATGTAGACTACCTACTGTAGCGTCACAACAACAAAGGGTGGGAATCAATACTGCCTTTCCAAATACACGCACATGTCGTATGGACCAGTTCGTGCTCCAGTCACTGTGTCTGTCATCTCACCAAAAAAAAAAACTCATCTCACAAAGAAAAAAACATTGACCAACTAACGTTAGTTTCACTGTAACACTATTGATAATTGATGGTGCCGATGCTCCCATTGAGTGGTATGGATCAGACTGTATTTCAAACACCGCTTACTCCACACTCCACACGCTGTCGAACCGTTGCGTGGACGACACAACGCAAGCGTAGCACGCTTAGACACCTGGGACATCAGATCGTGGAATCAAATTAATAGTTGTGTTCCGTTAAGCATGACTGATGTCTGACGTCACTAGATCCCAATATACCGCGCGTGACTTACCGAGTAGCCATAGAGTCATTACGGAGGTCAGCGTTACTTTTGACCAATTATTGATGCTGAGAACCTATAATTGTGGATTAGTGCCAACCATGGCCATCCGGTACATTGGAATATTACATTTTAGGGCTATCCCAATTCTCTTCGTATATCTGTATATGGAAACGCTGGTAACAGATGTGATACAAAGCCAGTCACTCTAGATATGCACACTTAGCTAGATAAGTCTGGAGTTGCTTTATTGCATTGAAAACTTGTGTATTAGCCTGCAATTGAACCAAGGTCTTGTAGAACAGAATCACCCAGGGAACTCACGTTGTGAAAGGCATTGTTAAGTGGATGTTAATAATTAAAGAGTTTAAAATAAGCATGGCACAGAATGAAGACAGCCTCTGACAAAGTCAATAGCTTAGATAGGTGTTCACGCAGGTAAACCGCGCGTCCTTGTTTTACTACAGCCGGCTTGACGTTCATGCGCAAAGCGTCTAACAAAAACGAATAAGTTATTGCATTATTGATATGCTGGCACTACTACCGTTCTTCTTCCAGAAGGCAGGTACTCCATTCTATATAATGAGACATTCGCATGACTCTCAAATTTATATATAGTTAATGTGTTAATGCACATGTACAAAAAAAAACACCGAAAGATTTCGGTTATTAATAAAATTGCAGATCAATTCGTTTACACGAACATATATATAAATGGATGAATGAGAGAGTATGCATTATTCTTTCTGTGTAGTGAGCTGTTGTGTGCCTCATAAAACATGGTCGCGTACTGGGCCCTGAAAGGAACACGTATTCAATATCATCGTCAAATTCCGCTAACAGTTGGCACTTTTGTAAAATATATGTAATGTTAGTCTATATCGGTGTGAATGAATGAGTGTTGACTGGGCGATCGATGAGTTGGAGTAGCGGTTCGATATAGCCTTGCCATTGTTCTCTATTGTTCAGAATTGTTATGGTCGGGAATCATGCATAACATAGCTTTTTTCAGGTGAAACACTAAAGCCCTCTTACCATATCAGTCAACATATTGATGAGGCTGACAGCTTAAGGGGGATATGAAATAGGCTGTGTAGGAAAGGATGTCCTAGCAGACCTACCACCAAGAGAAATTAGATAGCTGTCAGGTAGATATACCCCACGGCCCGTAAATCATTCAAACAATTTTAGCTTAAGATCATATTGTATTGATATCATTTACACCAATATAAGTTATACACAGTAAAACAATGCTTTAGACATTGATGTTGTGGATCAAATTACAGACATAATGTGATACTGATAGAAGTGGTACGGGTAATAATCATTACCGATGAATATTTCAAATTTAGCTGATGTATCCATTTCAACATCTGTGACCTCATGCTTTCTATTCTTTCATCTATTTAGGAGACATCGTCATCATGTGACATTAAATGTAGTGACATCAATATGACATAACACATTTACAGTTAAGGTAGACATGTTTATCAAATCTTTAAAGTACAATCAGACAATAAACTCACACAAACACGCACCACCTGTGCTAGATTATTTATTTTTAAAAATTACAGAGAGTTAACAGCACACAATACCAAAACGAAACGCTTTTACATAGTAGGGCCTATCAGCACATTGGAAGCTTTACATAGAGCGTATCAGCACATTGAGACGGCATTGACACATGAGATATTGAACAAAGATTCTCAAACGATTCAAGCATATGCTTCAACTTGGAAATAACATGAAAGGCCTTAAGACGTCAAAGCTTCATCTGTCACTTTGAAACAAACCTAAATCACGACCAAAGTATGTAGCCGCATAAACATTTATAGGTAAAACAATAACACCGTCGACTGAAATAGAACAAAACAACCATAGGATTAAATATAGGCGTGAACACTCAACGTCCAGATATACTATAGTGTTATCACACAGGGACAACATATCCTATAGTGTTATCACACAGGAACAATATATACTATAGTTTTATCACACAGGAACAATATATACTATAGTGTTGGTACATAGGGACAACATATACTATAGTGTTATCACACAGGGACAACATATACTATAGTGTTATCACACAGGAACAATATATTCTATAGTGTTGGTACATAGGGACAACATATACTATAGTGTTATCACACAGGGACAACATATACTATAGTGTTATCACACAGGGACAACATATACTATAGTGTTGGTACATAGGGACAACATATACTATAGTGTTATCACACAGGGACAACATATACTATAGTGTTATCACACAGGGACAACATATACTATAGTGTTGGTACATAGGGACAACATATACTATAGTATTATCACACAGGGACAACATATACTATAATGTTATCACACAGGAACAATATATACTATAGTGTTGGTACATAGGGACAACATATACTATAGTGTTATCACACAGGGACAACATATACTATAGTGTTATCACACAGGAACAATATATTCTATAGTGTTGGTACATAGGGACAACATATACTATAGTGTTATCACACAGGGACAACATATACTATAGTGTTATCACACAGGGACAACATATACTATAGTGTTGGTACATAGGGACAACATATACAATAGTATTATCACACAGGGACAACATATACTATAATGTTATCACACAGGAACAACATATACTATGGTGTTAGTACATAGGGACAACATATACTATAGTGTTAGTACATAGGGACAACATAAACTATAGTGTTAGTACATAGGGACAAAATATACTATAATGTTATCACACAGGGACAACATATACTATAGTGTTATCACACAGAGACAACATATACTATAGTGTTATCACACAGGGACAACACGTACTATCGTGTTAATACACAGGGACAACATATACTATAGTGTTATCACACAAAACAACACATACTATAGTGTTATCACACAGGGACAACATATACTTTACTGTTATCACACAGGGACAACATATACTCAAGTATTATCACACAAAACAACACATACTATAGTGTTATCACACAGGGACAACATATACTATAGTACTATTACACAGGGACAACATATACTATAGTGTTATCACACAGGGACAACATGTACTATAGTGTTAATACACAGGGACAACATATACTATAGTGTTATCACACAGGAACAATATATGCTATAGTGTTAGTACATAGGGACAACATATACTTTAGTGTTATCACACAGGGACAACATATAATATAGTGTTATCACACAGGGACAACATATACTATAGTGTTATCACACAGGGACAACATATCCGATAGTGTTATCACACATGGACAACATATACTATAGTGTTAGTACATAGGGACAACATATACTATAGTGTTAGTACATAGGGACAACATATACTATAGTGTTAGTACATATGGACAACATACACTATAGTGTTAGTACATAGGGACAACATATTCTATAGTGTTAGTACATAGGGACAAGATGTACTGTAGTGTTATCACACGGGGACAACATATACTATAGTGTTATCACACAGGGATAACATATCCTATAGTGTTATCACACATGGACAACATATACTATAGTGTTAGTACATAGGGACAACATATACTATAGTGTTAGTACATAGGGACAACATATACTATAGTGTTAGTGCAGAGGGACAACATATACTGTAGTGTTATCA